CAACTAGCTCATTAGATGGAAACTGCTTTTTATGTGTGCTTCTTGTAACTAGCTTGCACCTGAAGGGCTCATTTCAAGGCTGCTTTTTTTAGAAAGTTATAGCAAAAAAAGTCTGTGTCAAGAAAAGATACATACTTAGTTTCACTACACCCTGTTAAATGGATGAAAATGAAGCATAAGACCTTCTGAATACTCTGTACTGTATGCCTCAATAAATCAACCGTTGCTTCTTATGAAAAACTTCATGAGAATGCAACTCATTTTCAGTATATTACTTAAATTGTGTTCAAGTCTGTAAACATTGCTTTTAATTCAGAAAGATTTTGTGCTGAAAATGCTTCCAGCGGCTGTTATATAGTGCTGCTAGCACAGTATGGAGACTCAGTATTTACCTGTTTGGAATTAGCATTGTACTGTTTCTGAAATAATTTCAGCACTTCTATCGTAGTATTACATAGTTCCATCAAAAAAAACCACACTGGGCAAGAGGTATCTTGTCTCAAATGGTAACCTCTTAGGGATTCACACTTCATAAAAGTCTCCCAAATACTACTTTAAAAAACAATCCTTATATATCTGAATAGCTGGTTTATTCCACACTTTTACGTTATCTTAAGCTTACTTGCGCTTGCATTTTTCTTACAACCATAACAAGAGAGTCCAAAACTTAAAAAGTCCAGCTTCTCATAGAACAAGAACTATGGCTTTGGCATTAACCTCCTGAAGAAAATGTACAACTAAAGAAAGGAAGATGGGTAGAAAACAATACCTAGAACACTTCACTCTACAGAAGTAAATGTATCAGGAATACACACATTACAAGTCTGAATTCACATAATAAATTACCCATTTGAGAAATCAAACTAGCAATTTAAAGCTTACTATAAAGTCATTTTGAGAAGTGAATTATTAAAAAAAATTAAGGTAATTAACACCAAATTACTTGTAAATAAATTACTGTAAGAAATTAGTGATCGTACTAAACAATGCTATTTTAGCAAGCTTATTTTCTCTTTCTCTGAGAAGTAGAGCATACTTCAGCATATTTCACTGTGAGTACCTATGCCCCTCAAACCAGAAAGCATTCTGCCCAGTCTCAAAAACTAATTCAAAATTGCCCTTTCCCAAGTTTCAATCACAAAGGGAAAAAAAAAATAACAAAATAAAAAAAAATATTTCAAAAATTTCCTAGGAAGAAGAAAAAAAATATAACTATCACACACTCCAGCTAAAATTCTGGCCACGTGTCAATAAATGACAAAATAGATTCATTCCAATGATCCAGATTTCTCATCCCAAGAGCAATTAAATTCTCAGCAAAGCAGCTAAATAGATTCATTCCAATGCGATTCAGATTTCATCCCAAGAGCAATTAAATTCTCAGCAAAGCAGCTAAAACCCAGCTGTCTCTTCAAGCCAGATTTCAATTATTATTCCATAATCCTATATCCTTATAATTACATCGATGCTCACTCTGTATATACACAAAATACTGGCTTTATTTATTTCAGTAAAAATTAACATAGCACAAACATTCATATTGTTACTAGGTCCTACAGTAAAAAGGGGTCAGAGGACTCGATCTCTTTTGTCTTTTTCTAAGATAGGGTCTTGATATGACCTGATAATAGAGAGAACACTCATAAAAGTTTCCTGTCTAAACCTACTTGCCCAAATGAAATCGCTTTTAAAAGAGAAAAAAAAAAAAAACAACACAACACACCACAACAACTTGTTCTCTAGAGAGTATTAAAGAAGCCAAAGCTACTGGAATATTTTCAGTTTGAATTTTTACTTCTCGCAAACTATTATGCACTAGAATAGTGTAGTGTCTTTAAAAAAAGCACATACCTCAGAACAAAACACACAATTAGAACTGTATTATCTATCCTGTTATTGGTGTAAATAAGAACTTCGACTTTCCAAAAATATTCAAAGCTTCACTCTGAACAAACACGTATTAAAACTTATGTTTCTCATGTGTCTACTTAATACAATGGACAGGAGAAAACAAAACATCTCAAACCTTGCTACAGCAAGAGTGCTTCATTATTGGTTAAGCAGAGGAGCAATGAGGCTCCAGTTAGGATGCATGCTTTAGGCTACATTGTTTATATGTATGTTGAACAGTATTTCCAGACAAAAATTAATGAAAGCAAAAGTGTAGCAAGGTTGATCTACTAGACTGTAGCCCAGGTTCTCATTCCAAGAAATAGGAGAACACACATTTACGTTTCCTGCACTATGAAGTAAAATGACTTCAGTCCTAAGCAGCTATTTCAAAGATCATTGTAGAAATCAGACATTCAGTCCTTCAGATGTGTAACTACCAGACTTCTACTGAGGCAATGCTAACTCTCTCAGCTGCTAACTGAATAGGCACAAGCAAGCAAAATACTAATACAATCTCCCCCTCCAACGAAACAGAATTCATCTAAGAACTAAGAACTCTTAAAAATCTTGATTTCAGCTTGGGTCTGTAAATTGACCAGTTTGTTTTTTGTTTAATGAAGACAGTTATATTACAATCATGATCCCAATTCAAACCTAGAGACACAACAGTGTGTAGATCCACATTAAGGTTTGTTGTTTGGGTTTTCGTTTTGGTTCCCCCTCCCCCCCCCTTTCTTTTGTAATCTAACTCAATTTTGTTTGCAAGGCTTTTTTGTTTTTAAATAATTGTAATCTAAGATTCTTTTATAACTACTCACTCAGTGGCAGTAAAATGAAGAGACATTTTAATTATAACCCTTAACTTGGTCCCTGACCTAAAGCAATCTAGCAACAGAATTGATGAGAGCCTGTATTAAAAAAAACAACCCAAAACAAATAACCAAAAAAACCACCAACAAACTACAAACAAAACACAGCAAAAGTTATACCTCACATTGCTGAGCAGCTTTCTGCCATGAAACAGTAAAGCAGCTAGGTGATGTTAAAGTAGGTAGCTGAAACACACGACATGAGCAAACAGTACAGCTACATGTTAAATGAGAATACATATAGACAAATACTGTCTATGTTGTTAATTTAAAGAGCCATCACAACTGCTCTGCTAAGCATCAGTCTTCTCACACAGAACTGAGCAGAAGTAGCATCAGTGATTTGGTGCTTAGCAGCAAAGACCAATTGTTGAAAGGAGTATAAGGAACACCAATTAAATGAACACTTAAAAACTTGAAGGGAGTTCAATTCTTAGAATGTTAACCAATTGATTTGTTGCCTCCAAAACCAGAAGTGAAACAAAAGTAGGGATAGTGGAATAAATTATTTTCTGTTACACAATTAGAGAATAAAAACATTTTCAAATTGACAAGGTCTCAAAAAAAAAAAAAAAAAAGCATGTCCTACTTCGCTGTAAGTCCCCATGGCATCGTTTTATGAGAAGTTATTTAGATTTGTGTAATGTTTAAACCTCTAACACTGGATTGCACATTTTCTCCATAGCTGTTGGCTCAGTTAGTGAAGAACAGAAGGGTTGTCCTAAGAGGCTTTTCCCCCCCCACCCCCCCCCCCCCATCCTTAAAACCAAGCTCTACTGAGGCCAGCAAAGATATCTGCTTTTATTCTCCCAAAAAAGGAACAAAAAGATTGAGTAACCAGCAAGCTCCTTTCATTGTCTTCCTATTCTGGCTGCCATTCCAGAAGCCTAACTAAAATCCCCTCTGCAACAGTTGCCTTTTCAAAAATGGTCAAAACACTCCTAATCTAAGATTACCCAGTAAAACCTGCACTGCCATCTATAGAAAAGTTTAGGAAAAGCATTTAATATTTGTTGATACTAAGGATGATACAGCTTAGAAGACTAACAATACAACAGCAGGATGGAAATAAATAATAATAAAAAAGGTGAATTTTGCACTAAACACTACCAATTACTCACCATCTAATTACCTGAATTGTTATTCAGCTATATTGCTTCTATTCACCCCAGCCTGATGCCACAGAAACTCCAGAACTAACCATCTGCTTTGGAGATTTCCCTGGAAATATTAATTCCAAGGGGCAGTCAGGCTGGCATTAGCTCAAGCACTCAAAATTCTTAAATTTGACTCTTATCAATTGGACTTTGACACAAAGATATTAACTGCTTTTACCCTCACCATTATCTGCATAATAAATTGACAGTGGTGACACAGTGCCTAACATGCCTGAACACATGAAGCATGACACATTGATTATACCAAATTCTTTCTGTTAGAAGTTCTGACTGTTAGTATCATGTTAATAAAATCTGAGCTGCTTAATTCAAAAGACTGTTCGATAAATGAATATGAAATGAAAAGGGATGAAGGACAGGCAGACAATATTTTCCTCAAGCCCACCGAAATCCCAAAGTTGGCTCCCTGACCTCAGCTGGAGGGTCACAGCACCGCAACAACTCTCCATCCATTCTTTACATTGAATGATGTTTCTTGCGGATCAGTTATAAGTTTAGCAATAAGAAAAAGGTTGTTACGCATCTTGTGTATCGCATTTGAGACATACAAAGAGTCCTGCTACAGTGAGCTACAGTCAGGCATCTACCTTAAAGATTCTATGCTTGAACAAACTGAAAAATCAAAATAAACTTCGGTTCAAAAGGGTCCTATATGTATACAGTATAGAAACAAGACGACGGAAGAAGTCAGATAGGCAATAGCTATTTTCTTGCTTTTTCACTCCTAGGTTTAGAGATTGGTAGGAGATATTTAACCTATCGTTTGCAGGAATCAATTCTTTTATTCTTTGTGAGCACTACCAGGAGATTGCATAAGGAAGGACCTGTTCTGTCCTAACTTGAGAAGGGGGGGGGGGAAATGTATGTAAACAGCCTAATCAAGGTCACCTGTCCAGAAACAGGAGTTCCTAAACAAGAAGTTTCAAAAACCTATCAACTACAGAGGAAAGAGGAAACAATTATCAAGTAAAAAATACATTAATTCTGTTTTTAAGATATACTTAATAAGCAATAAACTCAGAACACTATAATTATGCAAGTTATGCATATAAATACATACTATGCTGTTCATTTCTGAAGATTCGTAACTTCCACATGGATGGACACTTCCAATAGGTTCCAACCCTTCTTCATCCCACATATATGTGCCATCAGAGCTGTCAGATGGAGAAAGCTCAAAAGAGGACCCAGCTCTGTAATTTATCTCTGGAGAAATCACATTCTCAGCAGTATGCTTCGTGCTGCCGCTGTTGTCATCCACTGCTTAAAGAAAACAGGAATAGTCAAGATTCCAAAAACAATCCAATATGCCAAAAATAAACATTAAGATGTGTATTATTGGTGCGTTAACTTTTCTGAAACTGTACCGTAACAGAAATATTTGAAAGCATTCTACAGTATTGTTCACTCATTCTAGAGGGGAAAAATGCTTAAGCTGGTTTGGTAGTTACAACTAAGTATCCTTCCAACCTACATTTTTGCTAGCCTTTTACACTGCACTAATTCACTCATCGTGAAAGCTACTTTCTAGAATTCTGTATCTTTTTAACATATTAGAAGGTGGGTCCAAAATTAGATCCTTTGGATCAAATCTTTCAACTGTAACTTCTCTCAAAACAAGCGTGTACTATGAGAAGCCCATCAGAGACTTGAAAATGTGGCTTTTAAAAACATCTTCTGTCTCTTCCACTAATTTTTAAAGAATTAATGCAGAACACCTCTGGAAAAACAAAAAAAAAAACCAAAACCATGACATTCATATTTATAATTTAACTGATTTAATTAGACACCCAACACTTATTCCCACTACTTAGGAGTGGTTACAGCTGTTCTCTGCCTACAGAGGCTGGGGGGAGGAGCAGGGGGAGCACAGGGAAAGAAATTTTCCTAAAAGATCACCAGTCCAGAGAAATGAATGGCAATGCAAGGATATGCAGAATCCCACAACCCTACCACAAGCGTGGTTAAAGGAGGTATCATTCATTCTTATCCCAAAGAAAAAGAGCTCTTCAAAGTCATGCCTGGGAAAGGTAACTATCACACAGAAAAAGCACCGTAAGAAAATAAATGGGCCAGCATAGAGCCAAGTTCCATTCTGAAACAATTCACAAGCAATGGGTAATTATATAAAACAACTTAATTACAATTACAGAATCTTGATTTAGTACCTAAAATCTCAAACAGAACATAACAAAGTATTTACCGGACACGTTTATATCAAGCCAGTCATCAGCATTACAGCAAGATCCTCCACTTTCCTTGAGAGAAGTGAACGGCTCAATGGACGTTATGCTCCCATGCTCTAACTCTTGAAGGCAGCTCTCCTTTTGCTGTATTTGTAGAGTTCTGTTTGGGTCTTCTATATCTATGAAATCATCACTGAAGTCTTCACTCAAATCATTTTTTTCAGAGGATGACAAAGAAGATATAGATATTTCATCTCCATCATCGCTCATACACATGACTTTTGACCCATGTTTTCCCATACTTTCATGCAGGCCCTCATCAGATTCTGTTCTTTGAGCACTGCTCTCTATAATACTGTTTTTCTCAACTGATCTATTAATATTTGTTGAAATTTCAGAGTCCTCCACAATGCATGCGTCAGGAGTTGTACTTTTGCTGCCATCCACAACGATATTTCCAGCAAATCGCTGCCTGCTAGGCTTCAGCAAAGAAGGCCGACTTAATCTGTATCCAAAAGAAGATGCTGACCCAGATCCGCTTGACAGCGGGGGCTTCTTTGAACAAGGAGCCGACATACCGGAGTAGGGCCTGGCAAATCCATACTTCATAGGTTCATTTCCATTGGGTACATCCAACTGACGTGCATTTCTTGACAGCAAAGTCGACCTCTGAGATGTCCTGGCAGCTAGATTTTGACTACGATAAGGCCTTGTAAGATCCACAGCTTTATTAAAGGAATGTGACCTGGTTAAAGATGCAGTGGGAAGGAAAGAATTCTGAATGGAATGTGAAAAACTTTGTGATCTTACCATTTTTTCACAGGAAAAAGCCTTGCTACTGTCTGTAGATTGTACCAGGCTTTCTCCTGAACTTGTCCTTGTGGCACTGGAATTAGCTCTAGGTCTCTGCAAACCTACCACCGGCCTGTTTCCATAAAATCCATTTAAATGTGATTTTGGAGCACTGAGTCCAGAATATGAGGTCCTTCCTGACAGGGTACCTTTGGTGAATTTTGCTGAACTAGAGAGTCCAGGAAAAGACTTTGGGTTTATTTCCTCAGTAGATGATACAAACATATTGGTTTGCTTTGCTGCTTTTGATGCAACCGAAGCAGTACTGTTCAAACCCACCCTGAGCACATCATTACCCACTGCTCCTTGAGATTGAGAATACTTCTCAGAATCAATTAATTTTTCGTTACAGTTATGTTTAGAGTTGGTGTCTCTCCCATTTTGATCATGAAGTTGATATTTATTTGATTTTTTCCAGTTGAAAGAAAAGGAAGACATGCGAACAGTGCCATTGTGCTTGCTGAAGTTCTTGCCACCATTATTCCCTGCTAAACTAACAGCTGTCCCATTTGGCATAGGTTGCAAGACACTTCCTAAAGTTTTCGTTCCGTATTTCGGTAGCCTGGAAAGCAAAGATGTCCCAATTTGATTTTTTTCTTCCATGAGCTATTGGGTACATTGGTCCTTATAGGGTGCTTGAATCTAAGGAAAAGAAAAGGTATATTAGATCTGAATCAACCACACATTAATCAACATAATTTGATATACATTTGCATCTATGTTTACTACATTCCTGTGCCTAACTATACCATGACGATACAAAGTAACTCACAAATTTTGTGAACTCCAGAGAAATACCAGTCACCAGCAGTTATTTGGCAGTAGTATGTTATTCAGGTCATGCCTCCCTCCCCCAACTTTTGTTCTCTAGATAAACTGCTTTTTTTCTTTTTTTTTGAAATCTATAAAATAAGCTTAAAAAAGGGTTGTGGGGGGTTTTTTTTCCATTGACCTATTTTGAGCAGCAAAGTGAATTTTTCAACTGTATTACAATTATTTAGTTACATAGGTCAGACTTTAAAAAAATCCCACAAATTGAACATAGCACAAACCTGTGGTCAGCAATGTAAAACTGCAAAAACTATAATGTAAAGTCTGACTAAAAGTAAATTTTTTTAAAATGATTTTTTTCAGTTTCCCCAATGTCTATGTTACAATACACAAAATAATCACTCATCATCCACCTTCACCATAGCATATTTTTTTTTAGGTCTTATTGATATTCCCAGTTCAAGATTAAAAGTCCTAGTCATTTTTTTCCCTCTTTGTATGGAAACCATAGTCTATTTTGGTCATCATCTCATTCACGTACAAGACTTGAGGTACAGGGCAACAGTTGCATAAGGTCAGTGTTAGTAAGTGAATTCAAAAGTTTTACTTCTGCACAGTGATACATGAACACATAACCCTAGCTACAAAAGTACGAGATAAAAAGATAATTATAGCATTCATGCATTCCCTTGTATCTTGAACTTCAGTCCCACCCACCTGATTTGCACTACAGGGGACTCCACTAAGTCTAAGTCAATAAAGATTTGTTATATCTCAACTTACAGTCACGTCATTTTGGTCTACTTTATATCACACTTATTTTTTAAAGCCGTATCTGCTTTACGGACATATCTTTGCCTCAAAACTTTTTGCCTTGAGAATTCCGATTTCCTCGCTTTGATATAGCGCTTTTTGTTTCTTCCACACTCATCCACATATCCATCCTACTATTTGGACAACTATGTCTGTATCACCCTTCTGTACAGCATTTAGTCTGTTGTTTTTCCTGGCTATACAGTATGAGCAACTCATCTAAATGCTATTATTAAAGACTTGCAGTTCAGACAATAAGGCCTTGAGAAGTCTCCAAGTTTCAATGTTGCATCTTAAGACAAGGTTTACTCCAGTGTTAAATTCTGTATTTGCAAGAACTAGGTTTCTGATTTTTCAAGACAGTTGTAAAAGGATATTTTGCTTTTGCTAGCCTGGATTTTATGTTTTCGTCAGTTCCACCTGCTGGTCTTACAATGGTGTCAAGACACAGAATTTCAGTCGTTCTATGTCATTCCCTGAAACTATTATCTGTGTTTCTCTTTTCACAGACCTACACACAGCTGGCAGGACTGAAAAAACCCATGAAGATTTTTAAACCACAGCAATTACGATGAGAATCAACACACAGCAAGTAACATTATACTTATTCAAGGTACAGGAAATAATCTTGTGTAACTACAGCAAGCATTACCTTAAAGTGAGTCACTCCCCAAGTTGCAAGACCTCACTAAGAAACACTTAAGATAAAATCACAGTGGCATTAAATTCATGCAAACTGAAGTACCCTTAGGATTTTATAAGTGAATAGGATGCCCCAGAGCTGTACTTCTGGAAGCAGATCTACATTAAAAAGATGATACAAAGAGAAACATACTCAGAGACATGGCTTTTTAAGGGCTTCTAACCTAGTGAAAATATCAGAATCCACATCCTACAACTGGTAGAGCGCATTTCTATTTAGAAACACGCAAATCCAGAGTTTTCAAATACTAAGTGAATTCTTGCACACCGGAGACATAACCCTCACCTAGGCATACAAAGAAGCACACAAGTGTTTCCCCCCAGCAACAGCAAAACATTTAACTCATTATGCATAATACGTGCCTGTATGTGGATTTAGGCGTCTAATGTTAGACTTATCTCAAAAACACTACGACCAACCACACCTACTAAGAAAAGCATTCACAGCATCTCATTCATGTATCTGTACCCATAAAAAAGAAACTTGCCTACAGTGTACCTGTATACCTCGCAAATGAAAAAAACATTATGCTTTCATATCAAATGCTGACCTCGAAGATACTTTATGTCAAATGTATACAGTAAAGGCAATAAAGTACACTTTTTTTTTAAAATAACTCCATGCGTAAAAAATGGCCTTTAACATCATGATGCATTCATTGACAGCAAGCAGATCCATCAAAAAGTATCCCAACTCTAACAAAAAGGCTCAAGTCTCGTACAGAAATCCTCCAAATTAAGAAAGTTAAATTAGAAAGCTGCTGCGCCCGCAGCCCAGAAGGCCAATCGTATCCTGGGCTGCATCCAAAGAAGCGTGGCCAGCAGGTCGATTGATAACCTGGAGCAAGTTCAGTGGAGGGCCACTGAGATGATCAGGGCTAGAGCACTTGCCTAGTGAGGAGAGACTGAGGGAGCTGGGCTTGTTCAGTCTAGAGAAGAGAAGGCTTTGGGGAGACCTTCTTGCAGCCCATCAGTACTTAAAGGGGGCTTACAAAAAAGATGGCGGCAAACTTTTTAGCAGGGCCTGTTGCGACAGGACAAGGGGGAATGGCTTTAAACTAAAGGGGGGTAGATTTAGACGAGATAGAAGGAAGACATTTTTTATGCTGAGGGTGGTGAAACACTGGCCCAGGTTGCCCAGAGAGGTGGTGGATGCCCCATCCCTGGAAACATTCCAGGTCAGATTGGACGGGGCTCTGAGCAACCTGATCCAGTTGAAGATGTCCCTGCCCAGGGCAGGGGTGTTGGACTAGATGACCTTTAGAGGTCCCTTCCAACCCTAACTATTCTGTGATTCTAATTTAACTTTCATGCTTTACGGATAATTCCCTTTTCACATCTGTCTACCATCTCTTAGGTGACTGCAAAATTTAAATGAGGCCTTTTAATGAGATTACTTTAATCCTCCACCAAGTGCTGCAAATTAAACTTGAAAAGCAGACCTTTGAGTTCTCTAGGAAGGGTGCTTGCTCATTTATCCTTAATTAGGGAAAGACAAGATATTATCTTTAAGAAAACTGTACTGATTGCTTAAAATACTTCAGATAATTAAATTAAAAGGCTGCCTACAAGCAATACTTGCCTGTGTTTTGTTAGCTACATAACTGTAACTGCTGTGTTACCTTTTCAATTTTAGGTTGCATTTGTTTGGTTGAAATACAATGCCGTCAAAAAAAATAACCACCCACAGTATCATGTTTGGCAGATGTTACTTTTCCCAGAAACCAGAACATTTTCTCACGAAGTTCTCTTAAACATCCTCAATCTTGACATATATTTATTACTAGAAATTACATTACCCTAAAAATGAAAATTCATATATTTATTACTAGAATTTAAATTACCCTAAAAATGAAAATTTCTTATCAAGAAGCATAGTACCTGCAAGTTACAGTATGATTTCTGCACCCCATGAAACTCAGTTTCAATACAATTTAAGTCATATTCTGCTGTATTATAAAGAAATTCAAAGTAATTTTAGACTTCTGCAATCTATGGATTTTGTCAAAACAGACATTTGGGCAAACCAGCCTTATATGCTTTGCCTTAGGAAATACATTATCTAGTGCACACAAGCCTACTTGGGAATTGAACTAATTATAAAGAGCCTGGCCTTACATAATGATCTAGGGAAAAGGAATTAAAACTTACAAACCCTCTCTGAAGTATAATCTGAATTAACTGAAAAGCTGCTACATCCTTACCTTCAAAGATATTCAAGATCCTGGTGATAAGCAAAAGGATATTCAGTCTCACTCTCCTTTGTGCTTTCTGTATAGGATTATTTACACCTCGACAAGATCCTCCAATGTTACTTTCAACTAGCAAACACAACATTCGCTTTTACATCATTCACAATCTGTTTCAGTAACACCAGGAAGACAGTTGCCTATATATTAACTTCTCGGCAAAGTTCGGTTTTGCATCTGAGACTCCACCCTACATGTTGTGGAATGATTATTACAACAGAAGACAGCTTAAGGTTCATACATTTCAATGTTTGGGCACCTTTAAAATATTGTGATCCCTATGATCCATGCCATCAGAGAGCTAAGAGCATTTTCAAGTTCCAAACAGATTACTATGAGTGGGACCAAATTCCCCTCCTATTGTTATAGCAGTGTGGAATAAACAGCTGCTGGATGAAACATATCCGACAGACTGGTGACAGATGAGAGCAATTCTGCAGAACTATTGCTATGCCAACAGTTTCGGATGTATGTTTCATTCTTCTTCAATTTTAAGACCACCTAAATAAGAAACAGAAATACTGAGTAGCTAACTTAAGATGCTTTTCTTACAGCAACTTCCTTCCCAGTGTGAAGATTTTTTCCCTTGTGGCACATAAACATAAGTTCACTGCTTCTGGATAACAAAGATGGTACTTTCCTGTATGTCTGTAAGAGGCTGGCAGCTACAGCGGTACACAAGCTTCCTTACCTACTGAGAAACATTATGTCCATCCATGTTCATATATCAGCAAACACCAATTATTAATCAGTCAATTTTTTTTGGTATTTGGCATGGGCAGGCTGACAGAACAACTGCTATGAAGGTCTGTGAATAAATGAATTATTCATATTTCTGCCATCATGTGCTGGATGTTACTGAAGCCAATGAAGTTCAATGACCACGTTTGCCAAGCCAGACCTTATACTCCTATTACTTGCCTTCTGCAGAAGACTTAAGAATTAAGATACTATCTAATTCTACTTGTTTGCCTCAGCGACAGGTAATCTGAAGCAGCAGTTACCACTATTCATGCATATTTATCTTGCCAACTCTACGGTGCTAAAATTTCCAGGGACCTTCATTCTTTCTCCTAGAAAACAAAAGCACGTTTCTAGTGTACAAAC